TGGTAATGGGCATGCGAAAGGTTGCCAACGAAAAATAAACGCCATCACATACGACAAGTTCATCGTTGCACTATTAAGGCAAAGATGTAGTAATATCACAGGCTAAAAACCCCATGCACCAAGTCAACTCGATCTAGGCGAACTTGTACAAGTATAAAATATCAACATTACTGTTTAATTCTAGGAAAAACCAAAAACCCAAATCTCCGAGCCCTATTTTACCTATAATAATCAAAAATTTGGGTTTTTTAACTTCCCTAACGCATCTCTCACATAATTTTATAAGAATGAACTGAAGCTAACAATGTCCTAATATAGTCACGAACAGAAGAATGCTAAATGGTCATTTTCTGCACCTAAAATGAAGGCACCAAAGAAAGGGAACGAAAAAAACAACTAATCACAGTTATCCTGCAGTCGTGATTTCACCCTTTCGGATTTCTTGACCTTAAAGCATGTAAACCAGAAGCCCCTGAGAACAATTTAGCTGATTTTACGGTGAAAATGCGCACCTCAAAACAATTGTTAAAAAGTTCACTGTAAAAGAAGTTCTCAAGAAACTAGGTTACAATAAACTTACTACTAAAAATCTGACTTATTTCAATACTTCTACGTATAAAGCACCTATGCTTTACCTCACCAGACAACTGACAACTGTCTTAAATTCGTGATTTGTACAACTTAAAATGAATCTTTTTATCAACACTTACCAAATGTAAAATCTTATTGCTGAGCACAGTTTACTTTCTAATTTACTGATCAGTAGAAGAGACATAATCCCACCGATGCTCCTCGGTATTATAAATAATTTTGGACGCCGCCCAACACCGTCTGACGAACTTAAGGAAAACGCTCGCTGCTGCTCGCTCTGGATGTAGTTTCATTATTCGAAGTCACGAAAAACCTGTCAAAGCCTGCGATCATTGGGGCTTAAACCCGAATGGCAAGCACGAAATCTTGAAAACTTGATGCATGAGTTTAGTAGTTTTAAGGCTGTGGTTAGTGCTCTGGGAATTCTTTGAGAAAGATTCACATCGTTTCTAGTAAATAGAACTTTGCAGTTTCCTCTCAGCCCTTTCGCTACACTCTCACACAAAAGACAGCGAGTAGCCAACACAATAACCTTAGTTGTTTCAAAGAAGTTACAGGGAACGATGCCGTCAGAAGAAATCAAATAGAAACCTTCTAGGTAGATACGCGAATATAGAAAGTTTTTTGACTATGCATTTTTTCAGTCAAGTAGCTGGTCGCTGATAGTTATGTAGTAAACCCCACGTCTCGTCCCAAATTACGACATAAGCAACATATGCCCAAATTTGGCCACAGATTAACATCTTATTGTTTTTGCTGTTTGGTTAATTTCGTACGCTCCTTGTTGACACAACATTTTGTCTTCCCAACTTGTTTAAGACATCTACTGCATGCATCATGACATTCGACCAACTCTGATGGTCATTTCCATGCTGACTTTTCTGATTCAGTCCTCACTATTTCTTTCACAAATTCATCATCTAAAAGAAATATAATTCTCCGCTACGGCCCTCTTCCTTTTCAATCAACAAAGTACTGAACTTGACATACCCTCATCTCACACGACAAATATCTTTTGACAAGCCTTCTGAACGGAAACGACGCCTGATAACTTATCTAACGTTATCACAACAATCAGCGATTCTTTTTGCACAGAAATATATAAGCTCAAACAACTTCAAAGAGATCGAGGAGGAAACAATGAGCAAAGGAAACACTGAGCAAATGTAACTGTATAGAATTTGAACTTTTTTTTTATTTTTCGGCCGTATTTTATCCCACGGAATATTGTTAACAGGGAAAAACCAGGCAAATTACCTTTATCGTGCATAAGGTAGTCTAAAAAATCAATCAAAGGAAAAGAAAACAAAATGATACAAAGAACTATTCAATATAACCGTCAATTATGCTAGATTTTAGAAATCTAAAAAAGAAAGTTAAAATAAAAAAATGTGCCATAAAATTGCGTCGAAAAAAAAAAATTGTTCAGTTAAACGTCAAAACCTCAAAATAATTCTTTTAGACGTCTTAGCGGTAAACAAAATCAACACTTTTAGAAATTTACCTTTGAGAAGACGTGAAAAAAACAAACATCCTATCATGACGTCTTCTTCACCAGTTTACCATAATTCACCTGCTGACAAGTGAAAGAAATTTAAACAGAAAAAAAGCTCTACAGAAAACTACTTCCAAAAAAAAAAAATAAACAGCAAAAAAAATTTATAATTATGGCTATATCACCGTTTCCAGTAAATTCCGACTCTTTAAATAGCGACAGATAACACGTGACATTTCATGCAAAAAAATCTTTATCCTCTTTTCCTTAACAGCGCAAAAACTATGTCACCAAGATCAATAATGGCCATTGAAAAAGAAAACGAAAAAACAGAAATAAATGATGAAAAAATTAGAAGAGGTAGACGGCCACTAAACGAGGAAGAAAACTGAACGGGCAAATATAAGTAGAAAAAAAAAAAAAAAAAAAAAAAAAAAAAAAAAA